AGAAATGCAAGGCCAATATACTTAAAAATACCCTGTTAATCTGTGGACTATACAGAAAGAGGAAGTATTTAAAGGTCTACAAAACATACAAGACAGGGCCATGAAATTCTAACGTAACTCCTATTTTATTAGTTTATTAAAAGTCATGTCTTCCTGAACCAAAGCATCCACTTGCATAATGAGTTTATTGAATCAAGGTGCTAGTTCAAATAATTCAGACTGTCTGCATATTTGGGAACAGAGGGGCAATTTGCTGAATTTAAAAAAAATGATTCATGGTTAGCATCCTATACACTCAAAAAACTAATCTGCATTATTGTATTGGCTGATGTACTATCTGGAAGGCAGACCTCTTTTAAGTCTTTATTTTCTAACAAAGTATAATTGAATGAAAGACCTTTTAAAGGATGTTTAAGAAATCATTAGGATTCTGCTATGTTGCTATTCTCTTTCAAATAATTCTTTTAATTAAGTTTTAGAACAATACCAATGGCTAATGTCATTGAGCACCTGTTGGTGTTTTAAGCATTTTGTATTAGTTCAGTTCATCGTGACAGGATCTCCCTGAGGCAGGTGCTGTTTATATTTCCACATTGAGGCACAGGAAGGTTAGAGGTGACCTGCTCAAGGTCACACAAACAGTAAGAAGCAGACACTGGACTGGCATTTCATCTGAGCAATTTTAGGGAGTGAGCTCTGACCACACTATCTTGGTAGAAAATGGGGGGGTGTGGGATGGTTGCCTGTTATTACAATTGTCTGTATGTCTTAGCATATTTTACTATACCCATTTGTTCAGTTCTTCTTAGACCTGAAGATTTACATTTATCATATATTTCTAGCTGTACTCTATTAATATAATGCAACTTACAAGTTTTCATTAAGTACAAACACTATTTTCTGCAGTTTTCATAGTACACAGAATGAGCTTTTATTTGAAAGAGAAGTTACGAGCCAGTAGGTGGTGTAATGGTTATGGTGTTGAACTCCTACATGGCTGATTACAGTTTGAGTTCCAGGCCTAGTAGCTTGAAAATCACATTGTGCATGTGTATGCCCAGTATCTTGTGAGGAGAATGAAGAAAAGACTGTGTCATGGCCATCCCCCCAGGGGGTGATTTCTCACTTTCCCGCTCACTATCTCTCTCCAGGGAGCTCACATGCCTTATGGGAAAAAACCTAAAAACAAAGAAGTTCCAGCATGTCTGGAAAGGATTTGGGAACATGGGTTCTTGATGTGGTGTCTCATGCACTTGAGCACTGCAGAACAGAACAGTGTCAATACCACCAGTGAAAGCGTAACAAATGCTGCCCTTATGAAAGGTCATAACCGAAAGCGAAAATGCTTTTTATTTCAAAGAAACACAAGTCTTTATTCCTCCTGTTGATGATAGTGTTAAAGCAGGCCAGCGTGAAGTTTAGTAAGACTGCAGCCATTTTGAAATTAAGACAGGCCTCTAAGAAGAGCAATCTACGTGCTGAGTCATGGGGAGTTCTGTTTGAGAAATAGCCGGATGGGAAGCCCGGAATAGGTATTTGAAGGAATCAGGATAATTAGGAGGAAGCAATTGACTCTGGTTGACTGTAGGGAGGAATGATTGGCAGCTGTTGTATCACATACCTATAAACACAGGGACCATGTTGAACACTCAATACAGTTTGGTGGTACTTGCGGACTGTCTCCCTATAATTGGTTACAGAAATAAACTCCTCTCCTTTCCTGTCTCTGCCTTTGTTTCATTGACCATGAGCTGCACTTACTTTGGCTGGTAACAGTACCATGAATATCTCACCTAACTGTAATCGAAAGTTCCATTCAACACCTCAGACCTGGAGCTACACAGTTGTTCTTGATGTTCCATTTAAAAATGGACGTTGTCTTGAACCAACACATCTTTTATGTTTTGATTAGTGCACAATCTATTAAGGAAACAATGTTAACTCCAAGTTAGGGCATTTAGAGTAGTACCAAGGTGCCCTGATTCTATCTAAATTCAGCCAAACAATCTGACTCTTCTGCACAGAAAAATATGTACAAGATTTGTTCAAGGACAGCATATTCACTAGAGAAATAAAAAAGTTTGGCTTTTATCCATGTTATAAAATTTGAAGTTAGATTGTCCCTAGAGGCTCCTACCCCCTCATAACTTGCATAATTGGCAATATTTTTCTTCTCTAATGACTTCGAAGATGGAGAAATAGTTGTTAAAAATCATTTGACTCACACAATTATATTGATTATATATGTGTTCAATATAGTCAATTTGTTTCTTTCATAACAAGGAAGCAGAGGCAACGTAATTTTTACATCTTAAATTATTTGGTCTTCTTTCCTGGAAATCTTAAAGAGATTTAAACAGGGCCAGCTGGTGGTGTAGTAGTTAAGATGGGTGGATCCTATGTGGCCAATTGTGCAGTTCAAGTCCTGCTCTGGGGCTTGAGAAACATGATGGGCCCATGTGCATGCAGGCCCAGAATCCTGAAGAGAATGAGAAATGGAGGAAAAGGGATTGCAGTGTGGCTATTCTCCATGGGGGTGTGGGGGGGTACTCTCTCTTTCCAGTTCTCTCTGTCTCTGGAGAATGTACACGTCCTTTGGCAAAATTTTAAAAAGAAAGAAATTTGAATAAAAAATTAGGGAGTTTTTCCGGCCTATTTGAATCAGCAGGTCCTAGATTGCTTTGTTTCCTCTATTATTACTCCATATTCACACCATCTTGCAATCATTTGCATGGTATTCTGTAGAAAAAGAAATTAAGAAGTAGGTAAGCTTGTTTCTGTTATTCGTCTCTTTCCTCGCCTCATCTATCACCTCCACATAGAAATTTTCCATTTTTGGTAGGTGGTATTCACATTGCTGCATGTTCACCAACTCATGAGTCTTAAGAAAGCAAGACAATTTTCCCCGTGGCTGATAAGCCAGGGGACTGAGTAGCACCTGCCTCGTTCCTAACTTCCTATCTTGCGTTGTACGTTCTATGACTTCACTTCCTTCAGTTCTTCTAAATAAGCTTCTGATAGGCCTGGTCTACTCTTGTCCTTACATTCCACCCATTCAAAGAGTAACAGCAACATTTTTAAGACATTGCCCCGTATCTTGTTGGACTTTTCATCACATTGTGGAGGCAGGGCTCCCACAAAGGTGAATGACACCATCAGTTGCTATAGACTAAATGAGGTGATATGAAATGGGAAAATGGAAAGAAAAAAAAAAAAAAAGGTCCCAGCCTAAGGAACTTGAATTTGAGTTGTAGGTGTGTGATGTGTTAGTTTTCTCATGATAGAAGTATAAATTTTGTGTAGGAAGTAGTTAGGATATTGTCTGGGGAATCAGACCTTGTCCAAATCCTGGGTCTACCATTTACCCTCCTGATGACCTTGGGCAAGCTGCATAATTCTTTAAGCATCTTCCCTTATTGTATGAAGGATGTGAGGAGCAAATACTTGAACATGGTGCCTGGCACAATATTTTCTATTTTAAAAAATATAAACTTGAGCAAATCACAAACTCTCAGTTTCTGCAGACATAAAATGGGAACAACATTAACACTTTATTCATAGGGCTGTTTTGAATATCAAAGAGAATAGGGAGGGGATTGACATTATTCTAGATATTCTATATGTGTAGATATGTGACTAAATACAGAGGAAATGAGATTAAAGTGAAAATATTTTTAAATAGTGGAAATTAAAAACTCTCAAGAGGGCGTTAGCAGATGATGTAGCAGTTACATCACTGGACTTCCACACGGCTGACCATGGTTCAAGTCCTGAACCAATGGCTTGAAAATCATGCCGGATGCATGTGGTACGTGCTCATGATCCTGGGACAAGAATAGAAGAGAAGGGATTGTAGTGTGGTCATCCCCCTGGGGGGTGATTTCTTACTTTCCCTTTCACTGTCTCTGTTTCTCTCTCCAGCAAGCAAACGCACTCTCTTACAAACCTCTAAGAAGAAAAAGCTATCAAGAGAGAGATGAGAATGAGTTTTGAACTGTTCTTATCCCAGTTTTATGGGGAAGAAGCTGGTGTTTACACAGGATGAGGAATTTGCTCAAGTTCACTCACTGCTAAGTAGATTCACTCTGGAAGCCTCCTGTCTGTTCACCATTTCACAGTACTGAGAAAACTGAGGCATGGCATGTTACAGAAGCCGCAAAGCCAAGACATAAGCCCTTGTCTCCACAACCTTCATGTCCGGGGATCTGTTCACCAAGCCTGTGGGCTCTCAAATGAACTGAATTAGGAAACTTCATCCCCACTGTAGTGATGGGAACACATGGCTGGGCATTTGTGTTTTTGTTGTTGTTAGAGATTTTTGCCTTAGGGTGTATGTGATCGATGGGGAGAGAGGCAGACAGAGATAGTGAGAGGTATAGTGAGAAATCACCCCCACAGGGGAATGACCACACCGCAATCCTTTCTCTTCCATTCTTTTCCCGGGATCTTGGGCACACATGCACATATGTCTGGTGTGATTTTCAAGTCATCAGATCTAGGACTCAAACCATGGTTGCCCAAGTGGGAGTCCACTGATATAACCATGACACTATCTGCTGGCTGGGCATTTTTAATAGAATGCCAAACCTTGGGACAAGCAGATGGAAAAATGGTTGTGTCACTGGTTTCCCACATAGTTGACCGTGGTTTAAGTACTGGACCCTGTGATTTAAGATATGCCAGGCATGTGTATGTGCCTCCCCAAAATCCTGAGAGGAGAATAGAGGAGAAGGGATTGTAGTGTGACCATCTTCCCTGGGGGTTGATTTTTTGCTTTTAGCTCTCTGGCTCTCTGTCTCTCTGTCAAGAACATGCACATTATAGCAAAAAAAACTCTCAAAACAAAAAAGAACCAACAAAACCCCAAACCGGCCAGGTCTCACAAGGAGTCTAGTAGAACCAGAGTCTGAACCAAGGTCTGCCTTACCCAGAAGCCCGGGTTCATTCCATCCCACCACTGCCTGGCCATTATGTGACGAACCCCTCACCGGGACACTTACTCTTCTTGGCTTCCTCTACCTTGTCCTTGGCCCTCTTCTCTGCTTGCAGGAGTTGGTGGATCCCCTGAGACTGGCTGGCCATGGCAGCTTGCTTTGAGTCAGGTGGCTTCTGTGACATCTGGGAAGTGACAGGGCCATTTATCTATGTGGAAATCGCCACCTAGCTCAGATTGTTGTGTCAACAGTGAGCTCCAAATATAAATGTTTGTCCAAACTGGTCTGACTGGGCCAGGTAGCTGGGCCCCAAGGAGAGCCCAGACTGGAATCTAGAAAAACAAGTTAAATCACTGAGGGAAACTGAGAACTTACCACTTCTGCCAACTTCAGCTCCTCTGCATGAAATAAGGAGACCCTAATGGGGTGTTGAATCTCCTTATAAAGAAGGATAGGATGCTTTTGGAATATCAGTTCCCTCTTCTTCTGAGACATACTGATTGTTTACTGAATTTTTCTTCCAAATTACAAGGTCTTTCTTTGTTCTTGTCTGTGCGCCGTTACTTTAAGGCCTTTGTCTTTGTTTCTCGTGATTCAATACTCTCCTTGGGACAGATTTATTAACCATTTGCCAAGAAGGTGATTTCCTGGCTTCCTACATGGAAGATGGATGAGGGATCTATTCCTTCCTTTCCCTAGGACTCACCTGACTGGGTATAAAGATTGCTCTTAGGGCATTGTGTCCTTCCCCAGGAATGCTGTATGTCAGCACTCCAGGGAGATCTGAGTATGGTGACTACATAAATAGGAAAGGAAATTGTAACCATAGATTGTAAGTTTAAACTAAAATAAGCATATACTCTATATTACTCAGTGCTCGTGTTGGGTACTGTCCCAAGAGAGAACAGTATAATCCTTCGTACCAGCAGGGATGAAACAAATGAGAATGTTGGTTACAGTGAAGAATTGTAAAATAGTATTTATATATACCTAAATTTTGTTTTTTAATTTATCAGAGGGCACATGCACTCACCAGAGAGGCGAGGGAGAAAGCGAGAAAGTACCCTCCATAGCGAATAGTCACACCATAATCTCTTCCTTCTATTTCTCTATTTCCTATCTTTTTGGGATTTGGACCTGGCATCAGATCCAGAACTTGAACTGTATGGTCAGTTGTGGGATCTAGCCTACTTAACTATCACAGCACAAAATGACCCCTACAATTTTGACTTGAAATGAAAAGCTAATTTTCCATTAAAGAGGAAAGCTTCCCCCCCAACTCCCTGTAATGATCTGCAGACTAGAGTTTCCTTTAATATTGCTTTTTAAAACTACACTCTGATAGTAAACGCCAGGTTCAATTTCTTTAAATAGGCTTATGGATTAAAAGACAATTGTAAAGCAATCTGAGAGCTAAATCTTTTAAGGTGTGTAAGGATTATTTTCCCCTAATCTTTTTGTCTCATCAATACCTACATAATTATATTATGTATACATCCCTTTTAGCAAATCTTTCTAAGAGAAAGAGATTTTTCTCAAAGATCACTTTTCATTTGTTTTCTTTTTTATACTTGTATTTAATCAGCTCATAAAATGCTTAATTTATATTGCACAATTATAATACCTAGTGTAATTGTGATTAAAAAAGATGAGTAAATGAACACAGTTTTTGGTAAACATACATTTCAACTCAAGTTCAGCCAGTCTTGGACATCAGTCAGGGTGTTCCGTTAGCTGGAGCTCGTCACTTAAGCTGCGGATGGCTAAATGGAGATCGTTAGAAGAAATCTGCTTTCATCTTGTCTCAGCGGTATTTATTGACTGTCCTCCGTGTGACATATTTCCAGCCTTATTGCAGGCAGTACGGTGGTCAGTAGAATCAAAAGCCTGGCTGGGGAGTTTGATCTTTATTACATGTGCAATGCGTTGTTATTATTATCATCTGAATGAATGAGTTGGTCTCCCCCAACCGCTCTCCTTTTTAATATAGAGGAGCTGATTCCTCGTGTGATTGTTCATTTACAAAACCAACCATTTTAAGGATAATAGTATCTTAAAAATGTTATCTACTAATCATCCAGATTTTGAATTGTTTAAATATTTTGCATTCTTGAGGCATCGATGGGCAAATGAATCATGTTCTACTCACTAATAAAATACCAACTGCACCCCAAAAACTGGATGTGATACTTCACAACCTACAAGGCCTATTTCTATATTTAACTCATTTAATTCTCACCGTAGTCCTGGATGTGGGTCTTAATACCACATATCACACTAATTTTATCAGTAAAGAAACAAAAGCTCTTATAAAAGAGGCAGGGCTAGTGGTCAGGAAACTGCGGCTCAGAAAGCTGGAGCCAGAGGCCCGAAGTCAGGCAGCCCCTGAGTGATACCTTGAACTGATGGCACCATCAGCGGTTTTGGTTCTGCTCAGGGCTTTCTCTCTCCTAGAAACAAAGCCCTTCCATATTTCATCTTTCTTGATGCAAAGTATGAAAGGAAAATAAAGAATATTGACATTTCACTCTGTATAAAAACCACTGAAAACACAGATCAATTAAAATGCCATATATATAAAATAATCGATACTAAAAATACTGAGACAACATTGGAGTGGAATTTACCTTCATACTTGAAAGTTCCTGCCAAACAATGATTATTTTAAGCACCAAGAGTTCATCCTATTCTATTGAATATCTATTTAATACCACTGGTTCTTGTTTTAGTACTTATTTAGTTTTCTTTTTTTGGCTTTTTGCTGTAGGGCATGTGCACATATCAGGGAGAAAGGGGGAGAGAGAGAAAGTGAGAAATCACCCCAAGGGAGGGATGGCCACACCTCAATCTCTTCTCCAATCTCTTCTCAGGACATTGGGCATGCACATCCCCAGGGGGGATGACCACACCACAGTCCCTTCTCCTCTGTTTTCTTGGGATTTGGGACAAGAACACACACACACACATACACACACACACACACATTCAATGAGTTTCAAGCTACTGGATCTAGGACTTGAATTGTGGTCGGCCATGTGGGAGTCCAGTGACATAACCAGTACATCATCTGCTTGTCCCTAATGTTGGTAGTTTCTGTGTATTAGTATGTAAGAAACAGTGTATTATTATTGCTTCTTTATTTGTTTGATGTTATTTATTGTGTTTATTATATGATGGTATTTTTTACTGGGTCATCAGGAAAGTCATGATGCATTTTGGCATAGAAAAATACGTCATGATTTTCCCAATGACCTCATATTGTAATTTTTAATGATAAATTGAATATATAGTTCTCTATTTCTATAAAAGTCTCATGGAGTAGAAGGACTTGGTCTTGTCAGATGAAATAGAGAAATAAATATGTTAGTCATGATAACTTTGTAAAAAGGAAGAAGAATCGTAGGGTGCATATTTAGGTTCTTGATCTTTGATTTCCTTCTTTCAATTTTTTCATCTTTCATTTTTTATTGATGCACATTTTAAAAATTATTTACTGTAAACTTTTAAAGCAAAATATATACCCTTTAAAAGATGTTTGATATTGAATGTTAAGGGAGTACAGAAAAATAACTCTTATTTTTGCTTCTCTTTTACTTGAAAATTAACCCTGAGTGTTTTGAATAGCTATAGTTATAAAATTAGCAAGTATTCAGTGTATAATTTTTGGTTTCTCTTTTTTGAAGTTTCATTTCTACTCAGACTTCCCCTTATTAGCTATTCTGTTATAACTATGTTTTAGCTAATCATATGATTTTTCTTCCTTTTGTCCACATTGGTTTAGCCCTTAAATCTGAGTGACAGTGAAAAGTAGATTAATTCCTGGTTTTCTGAAGGCCCAGAGCACATAGGTAATCTAAATAGCAAACTTCAGTCTTTAAACAAAATCTAAAACTTAGTCTGGGTGACTCTAGGGAGCATAGTATCTTCTTCACTTATTCACTATAGCTGAGAAGTAATATAGAAAACAAATATCAGGGACCAGCGGGTGGCGTGGTGGTTAAGGAGCTGGACTCCCACATGGTTGACTGTGGTTTAAGTCCCAGACCTAGCAGCTTGCTTTCCCACTTTTCCTCTCTCTCTGTGTGTTTCTCTCGGGTGAACACATGTACCCTATAGCAAATTAAAAATAAGAATATTAAAAAATAAAAATAATTCTCTTAAAAATTTTGTTTAAAAAACAAATACCAGTGTGTAAATATTGGTAATTTCCAGGCCAGCTGTTGCCCTGGTGACTGAGACAGCTGGATCCCACGTGGCCGACAGTACAGTTCCAGTTCCAGACTCGGTGGCTTGAGAAACACACTGAGCAAGTGTGTGCGCCCAAAATCCTGAAAGGAGGGAGGGAGGGAGGGAGGAGGATTGCAGTGTGAACATTCCCCAGTAGAGGGCTTTCTCTTGTCTCCCTCTCTGTCTCTCTGGCAAGTGCCAGACACATACATGTCTGTATACATACATGTATATATACATATATAGGTATAATTTTCTCTTAAAAAAGTTGGCTTTCCACCCCCCCTTTATTCATGACAGTGCATATGTGTGCGCGTGTGAAAGTGGGGAGAGTGAGAGGAGCACCCTCCAAGGGTCGAGTCATACTGCAATCCCCTTCCTCCAGTCTTCCAGCCAGGTGAATCCTGGGTACATGTGCATGTGCCTGGCATGTTTCAGGCAGATGAAGCTAGGGACTCGAACCATGGTCACCAGGTGAGATCCAGCACATTCTGAGCAGCACCTGACTGCTGCACTCTGGAGCCAGCTTGATTGTTTTCTATTTTCTTTGTTCGTTCTTTCTTTCTTTCTTTCTTTCTTTCTTTCTTTCTTTCTTTCTTTCTTTCTTTCTTTCTTTCTTAAGGTTTTGTCACAAGTCATTCGCACTCATAGAAGATAGACAGAAAGAAGGATAGTGAGAAATCACCCTGGGGGGGATGGCCATGCTGCAGTCCCTTCTCCTCCATTCTCCTCTTGAGTATTTGGGCACACACACATGCCTGTGGCATGATTTTTCAAGCCACCAGGTCCAGGACTCGAACAGTGGTCAGCCACATGGAAGTCCAGCACCATAACCACCACGCTACCTGTTTTCCTTTCATTTTCTATTTTCTTATCTCAATGCAAGGAAATAACTCTTCTTATTCCTGCCTCTCATCTTCCGCTTTTCTTCCTTCTCTCTCTCCATCTT